TTCAGCAATTTCAAACAGTTGAGAATATTTACCAGCAAATAGATAATTTGCCCGAAAATACTAAAAAATTATTATCCGGCAAGAAAAAGAAAGTTTGTCTTAACAAAAAAATTATTAGTTTAGAAAAAAATATTGACTTCTCGGGCGAAAAGTTGCCTGCGTGTGATTTCAAGTGGGAAGAATGAAAAAATGACCCCGAATTACAAAAATTTTGTGAAAATAATAGATTTAAAAGCATTTTAAAATTGCTTAACTAACAAAGAAAAAAAATGTAAAATGTCTATAATGAGATACAAGGATTTGTTAAACACTAATGATATTCTTAATTTATTAACCAACAAATTAAATTTTAAGTTGAAGCAAAAAGGGCGCAGTGTTTTTTTTATTTGTCCCTTTCACAGTGATAAAAATCCTAGTTGTAGTTTTGAACCCAACCGAAAAATATTTACTTGTTTTACTTGTGGTTTTAAGGCTGGTGATATCTTTAATTTTTGAGCCCAGTACCAAAAAATTGACCGGGAAGAGGCCATTGTAGAAATCGGCAAAATGGGCTACTTTGATTTGACAATTTTACAAGAGGAAAAAAAACGAGAACAAAAAGAAAAAAACCAGATCTTTTATTTGCTTTTACTCATAGCCGATATTTATCAGCATAATTTATTGACCTCAGCCGGTCAGGAAATATTAAATTATCTCCGTCAAGAACGGCATTTAGACGAGACAACAATTAATCGCTTCGGTTTAGGATGTAGCATTAATAATCGTCAATTAAGCCACTTACTTTTAGACCAAAAAAATTCCGACTTTTCCTCCGAGGATTTATTAGCCACTAATCTGGTTTGGATAACGGACCAGAATCAGACTTGTGATTTTTTTCCCGCCCGTCATTTAATCATACCCCTAGCCAATGCAGCGGGAAAAATAGTGGCTTTTGCGGCCCGAAAAATTGGCAAAATATCAGATGACGAAGGAAAATACAAATATTTGCCTAGTTATCAATATTATCAAAAATCGGCTCTGTTGTATAACTATTCAAGAGTAGCAAAAAGTCGGACCGAAGAATGTTATTTAGTCGAAGGTTTTTTTGACGTTATTAGT